TTTACGATTTGAAATAATTTTTGGCTATAATCAGTATAAAATTAGTTTAAAATCAGTTAAACTTATTTGAATTAATTAATTAATACAAAATACTAGTTATTATTGATTTGTAATATTTAATTTAAATTAACAAATATTTTACAATCAGTAAATTACTAATTAAATAATTATAAGTTATTGTATAGTGGGTAAAAAAATATTGATACGATGGTATGGATGTAGATTAGTGATCGGATCACTGATTTACATTCATACCATCATGTCAATTTTTTTATTCTCATACAATAACATTATTATTGTCCGGCAGTTGTTACTGCCATAATCATTTGATCTTTTAAAAAAAATAGGTACATATTTAAAAGTTAGCCGATTTACTATATAATGTGTATAAGAATTTTTTTATACTTTCGTCGTCTTTTTCTTTCTCTTTTGCAAAAGAAACTTCTTTTGCAAAATTGACATATCTTAAAATGATCCCTAATTTTTTTTAAGGACTGCAATGCCTAAAGTAGACAAGCAAAAGGTTTATCTGCATATTTATTTGTAGTTGTTTATTTATTATCACTATTTATATATTTATTGAACTTTTTTAAAAATGATTTACATATGTGAAGCCCACACCGGAAGAAGTTATAGCATTACAGAGAAAATCTGTTGTAGAAAATACACATAAATCTACTTTAAATTAGATTAACTAGTTTGAAAAATATCGTAAAGATACCAACCTTCCTGGTAAATTATCTGATATTTCAGATTTAAAGCAACTTGAAGAAGAACTTTGTAAATACTTTACTGTATATCACAAGGCTAATAGTGATGAATATTCTGTAATATCCCTTCAATCTGCAATTAATACATTTAATCGGTATTTTAATGGTGAGACAAGCAAAATCAAACCGATTGACTTAAATAATAAGAAAGCACATCCTGATCTTTGATGAACATTAAATGAAAAAATTAAAATATTGTCTGCAAGTAGATATGGAGAAACTAATGGGTCTGATGCTTTAACTATTGATGAAGTTTAAAGAATTTTATCATATCCTTAAATATCAAAGTTGAATCCCAAAGGATTATTAAATAGTGTTTTTTTTTTTGGTTTGTGTGGTAGAGAGCATTTTTTATTTTAGCGTGTATCTTTTAAAAAAAATATGAATTCTGGCAATTATGAAATTAAGCTTTTTCAATCAAAAACTAATTAAAGAAGTCTTAAAAGCCCTGATGTCGCTAAAACATTTTCTATTCTACCTATCTTTGATATTATTGAATCATATGATAAATATATAGCCAAACGTCCTCCTGATGCTGATTCTCAATTCTATCTACATCCTATAAAAGGAATTAATAGTAAGCAAATAATTATGTTTAATTATCAGTATCTAACAATTTTTATCTAAAAAAGTTAATTTTTTATTTAGATTTTAAAACTGTCGATATCTGGTATAAAAAAATACACCTTGGAGAGAATTTTATGAAAGCATTTTTTAAGCGATTAGTAGAATTATGTGATATTGATATTTCTGGTTATAAAATTACAAACCAAACTGGGTGTAAAACTTTAATTCAACTTTTAAAATCTCTTGGATTATTTAATTATGAAACAATGTCAATTTTACGTCATAAATCACAAAAAGGGTTAGCATCTTAGGATGTTCTATAGAATAGGTAGGCAAAATAAGAAATAAGCTTTCTAATGATTAGTAATCATTAATTTTTAATAGCGGAGTTTGCAGAGTTTGTGAAGTTTGCCCACCTATTCTATAGAACATCTGCATCTTATGAGTATCCAATTAAACATGTACAAAAACTTGGATATCAAGCTTTAAACAAGGCAATTAATTATCGTTCTGAAGAAGCAAATGGTAAATTTTTTTAATTAATTCATTAATTAATTAATTAATTTATTAATTTATTTATTTATTTATTTTAGAGCCACTTGTAGCTACAAATATACATAGAAATGAATTATCGGGTTTTACATCAGCAAGGTTATTATATCAAGGTTAGAATTTATTAATTTATTTTGTTAAATAAATTTTTTATTGTAATAGTTTTTTTATTTTGTTTAGAATCATCCACATCTCTTAACAAACCAATTCAAACAAATTTGAACAAAATGAATCAATACAAATAAATTCGTCGCAGAATGGATCAGTTCAAGAACTAAATGAATTTATTCGTGGTGCCACATTTATTAATTCTTCAGTGGCTATTCATTTTCATATGCATTAATATTCGCTTAAAATTATATGTAAGATTTTAATTTACATATCTTGCTTAATAAGAATTTAAAAAATTCAAACAGATTACAGTTATTTATATCATTTAATAAGAATTTTAAAAATGAAAATCTAATTGATACTACAATCTTCAATAAGAATTTTAAAAGTGAAGACCTTCTTAAATTACTGGCCCATCTAATAAGAATTTTAAAAGCTAAAACCCGATTGATGCTATTTTGTTCAATAAGAATTTTAAAGATAAAGACCTAATTAAGTTACTGGCCCTATCTAATAAGAATTTTAAACAAAGATCTATTTATCGTGCTTTTCAAAAAGGTTCTTTAGATTTTAAAAATTTTACTGATCAAAAAATATAGATTAATAAACAATTTTGTATCTCAAAAATTTTTCCCAATTATCATCTTAAAAGCCATGGGTTACATCTTTTTAAAAAATGCTATAATTACTGACTCCATCCTACGACCAAAAATCTACTTAATTTATTTGCTACATATCGATATAGTAAGAATTTTAAAAGCAAAGATCTGATTAAATTATTAACACACAGAATTTTAAAAGTAAAGTTACTGGCCCTGTTTAATAAAAAGTAAAAGTTTGATTATGTTATTGTTTTGTTTATTTAATTGATCCCGCCTTATAAGAATTTTAAAGCTCAGCCATACAAATATGATCAAAATTTGGTATGGCAGTAACAACATGGCCATACAATAATTTTTATTATCTAGTAATTTTCACTGATTATTAAATATTTATTAATTTATATATTATTGATAATATACTGATTTTATAAAATTATAATAATCAAAATAATTATAATTAAAAAATAAACTACAATCAGATTATTATAATTAAAGAATAAACTACAATTAGATTATTATAATTAAAAAATAAACTACTATCAAATTATTAAATCATATTAATATTTATTATATAGGTCTTATGTAACAACTTGTACTTTTTTAAATATTTATTCATATAGGTTTATATAAAATCATAATTTTTAAATTTATATAGATTTTTATATAAACCCATACAAATACTTTTAAATAGTACTTTTTAAATTGTAATTAGTATACTTTTTAAATTTTAATTAGTATACTTTTTAAAATTGTAATTAAAGTAATTTTAAATTGTAATCAGTGTATTTTTTAAATTATAATTAGCTAAGTAAAATATAATTTAGTAATTGGCTAAGCAAATATATTAATTACATGGTTTATTAAAAAATAAAACAATATATTTTAAACTGAAAATTTTAAAATCAAGATTGATCAACTTGCTAGCATCAAGAAATTGAATAATAATATTAACTGTATTTTCTATTATACTTTACAGTTTTTGTTATTTGCAATAGGTACTGATACTTTAAATACTTTTTTTTTCTTCAGTATTTGATTACTTGATGATGACAACTATTTTTTACTAGTACTATTTGTTGGTTCTAAAATGTAGATATTTGTTAATTCTGATGCATAGATATTTGTTAATTATGGGTATTTGTTGGTTTTGAGAATGAAATCGAGCATTCTTTGTGAAGTTCAAATTTGGAACTATGTGATTTGATAATGAAAACCTTATTTGAGTTAAAAAAATTATTAAATATAGATAATAGATAAATTAAAATAATATAAATAAATAATTTAAATTATATTAGTGGATGTTTTAGTATTATAATTAATGGATCTTTGATTTGGGTTCAACATAGTATTAGTATTAGTACTGAATCTTTAGTATCATATTTATTCACCATTTTTTTTCATTCTAAGCTGATCGACATGACAAAGCTATTAGAATATGTTCTTTTCCTTTATCAAGAAGTATAATTACTAAGTACTTATTAAATATTTATTTCAATTATTTATTAAACCAATTTCAATGCGACAATAACAATAAAAATGAAAATTAAAATATAGATATATATTAATATATTTATATATAAAATATAAATACATTCTTTAAATTACTTGTATAAAATTATATATATAGAAAATAGATATATTCTTTAATTCACACTCTTTCCGCTAATCAGCAAAACACAAATTTTCGAAAAAACAAATTAACTAAAAACTACAAAAAACACACAAAAGTCTTTAGAAAACCAAACTTGAAGCTCTAAAGAAAGAGAAAGAGGATGACATAAAATACTCAGTCTCTTAGAGACTTGAGTTAGAAGAAACAGAAGTGACAAAGAAATAGAAGAAGTCGTAAAATATCACTGATATTTTTTTGCACTTTGCAAAAATTTGGAGAATCGGCCTTGACCCTGAATTGCAGATCTGTTTTGGTAATACAAGAATTACAACATGTAATAAAAAATAAACAAAGAAAATATGACAAAAGCCATGTGACAAATTCAAACAAAAACAACAAATGAAACAACAACCAACAACAACAAATAACAATAATAGAAAAACAACAAGTCACATGGATATACCAGTAATAAAAAATTCTAGAATATATAGACTGAGGCCAAAAGAAGCTAAAGCAATAGCAAAAGTATATGATAATAAGACTGAAGATTATAATATAGAGTTCATCACAGAACAACTTAAAGCAGAATTTGCTAAAACAAAATTAATCACAGAAGAAGAAGCAAGAGCACAAATAAGGGCACTGCATAAAGAACGACAGCAATACAACGAAGGTATCAGTCAGTATACAGGACTAGAACTTAAAACAAGAGACAAGGTTGGTTTTTTAAAAGTAATAGAAAAGGGAGAAGACTCAGTTGAATATATTATACATAGAGAAATAAAAAACATTATAGCAGAACTAAGAAAAGCTAATACAATAAGAGAGGTAGAAGAGATTAAAAAGAAACAGGTTGCCAAATTAAAGAGTTGGAAAAGAAGCAAGTTGCCAAGATAAAATCAAAAATTGAATCCAGTTGGAGCAAGAGACTTGAAGAGCAAAGGAAAAATCGACAAAAGTTGCATAACAAGATAGTTCTAAACTCGTTAGCACAACAATTTAATCAATCAGTCCAATCTGTTGCAGAAAACCAACACAAAGAAAAAGAAAGAGTTAAAGAGAAAAAAATAAAGTTGCAAGCCCAAAAAAAAGCAAAAATGGCAGAAAGAATTTTAATCAAAAAAGAAAAACAAGCTGCTAACAGTATAAAAACAAATATAGAACTAGTTTGGCACAAGAGACTAGATGAACAGAGGAAAAAAAGACAAAAGCAGCAAAATAAAACAGCACTCAAGTCATTAATATAGCACTTCTCAGTAACTATCAGAGTATTCGAAATAGAACAATTTTTAGAAAAAGAAACAATTAAGATAGAAGAATGGTGGTTACAATCCTAGCAAAAAGAAGCCTTGAAGCATTGTCAACAAAAAACTAACAAAGGTAAAGAAACATCAGAGCAAAAAATCAAGAGTTAAAGTAAAGAAGGCCAAATAGAAAGAAAAGCTCTGAATAAGATCGCAGAAAAATCAAGACCAATAATATCAAGAACAGATATATTAGAAAAGGAAAAGGTAGAAGATATACAAACCAAGAATGTATAGAGAGATATAACAGATTGGACAATAGAAGCTTTGTATTTGTCAAGTAGGAAAGATGCCCAGATCAATAGTAAAAATTAAAAAAGAAAAAAAAAGACCTACTAGAAGATTGGATTCAACAGACCAAATCTTACGTAGCGGAGAGCACAGTTAGAAGAGACAGAATCCAAGTTATTACAGTGAAAAGAATAACAAAAGTTATGAATCAGAGAAAAAAAAAGAAAGACATACTTTTGGATATAGCAGAAGGAATATTATTAGAAGTGTTAGAAAATCGAGAAGCCTATATCGAATTACAAGAGAAGTTCTTTGAAAAAAAGCTGTACCCAAAAAGAAAAAGATAAAAAAAAGATGCTCAGGTCAGCAAAAGAAAGAAAAAGAAGAAAAGAAGACTTGAATGAAGTGAATTTGTAACAACTACTAGAGAAGTAGAAAAAGCTT